TGCATGTTAATACAATCATTAAGAAAGATAACATTCACGTTCACCTCAGCAAGTTTGATAGAATATCGCAGAAACCTATTTCATTCTTTTACTGTCGAAAGATCATTGGATTTTTTTATTAAATGGAATACACTCATTAAAATACTAAATAAGAGAGATTTATTTGCTCATATGAAGGCAGGTATATGAGTCGTTCGATGTGTACTTTATCCAAAAGAATTCAAGAACATCACAAAACCTGGCTAAAAAAACCAGATGGAAACGTTCATTAAGAAGCTCAATAATCGAACATTTAGCGAACACAGGTCACTGAATCAAGACAGATTCTGAGTTTTAAAGTTATTTACAAAATAAGTAAAAGGGTATCATGTGGTAGTTATATTACATCTATTTAACATTGCCCAAGTAATAACCAGATTGTGTCTTAAAGAAATCGGTACAACCTCTTCCTCTACCATGGTCTTAATATCTCGTAGTTTCCGTTTTTTCTTCATATTTTTTCTTCCTTCCCAACATTCTGTTTCTGCTTCCATCTTCTCCATAAACCTTCTACTTCCAACTTGTTTATTTTTGTGTGTATGTGTGTCTTTAATCTTCCTAATAACGTTTCATCTTAATTCCAACATTTTATCTTATCATACTGAATCATCCCTTTTTTGCAATGATAATTTCCCTACCCATCATTATAATGAATAGTTGAATCCTTAACTATCAAACGATTATTAGTTGTTTCACTGGTTGAAATCTTCAGTCAATTGAAGATAGACTACTATGGAAAACCTGGAAGCACTGGACGGCCATTTCGTCTTAGTATAGGACTCCTCAGCAGTGAACATCCACGATCCTGCACCCCGCGAGATTATTAGTTGCCTTGATTACAATTTTTTTAAATACCTTTGTTTATTCTACAACATAAAAATTATTCCAACTGTAAACCTCATTTAACAGGTCAATAAATATTTACTTTATTTTAAACATTCCATTAATCAAAAACAAAGCTAATATGATAACATTAAACAAATGATTACATAGTGGAGAATATTTGTAGCTCAGGTGGACGATTTGGATGGAGTTTTGTTCTCTGAGCTGGATGGTTTGGTCGTGGAGCTTTCATTGTTCTTCTGAACGACATCATCAGCACAAACTCCACTCCACGACCAAACCATCCAGCTCAGAGAACAAAACTCCATCAAAATGATTACATCAATTGCCTGAATCAAACTATATATATTCCTCATTATCTCACTTACCTTAAAATACTAAAAAGTGTTCGATTAGCTTATTAGAAATCTTAGTAAGAATATTTATTAGTTCCACTAATATCAAACTATTTAATATAGTGTATATGATATCGGATCATTGAAACCGTTGATCATAATCTGACTTGATCTGTAAAAATATCTACTACCCTACCAGGGATCGAACCCGGATATCATTATGAAAACGTAACCCTTATATCAGTGAAGTGGCATCTTGTGGTTTACATGACCGAACTTGGTACATAGAATTTGATCACCAATAATAAACAGATAACAACTTGATACTGATTATTGCTAGTTGATCAAATAAAGTAAGCATCTCAATCCTACATGATGTCAATCACTAACTGATAAGATCAAAGTTAACAACTCACTTAATAATACAACCTATCACAGTTACAAACTATGCATAACGTGATGATGAGTTTCATTTAGTATGAAATCAAGGTTTATTTTCATCTTTATCACCTACAACCATCACATAAACATGAAAACATTATCCTTTTGGTGAAGCTTTTTTTCTCCAGCTCAGAAAATGAAACTTCACTCACATCATCCACTTGACCTACAAATATTCTCTACCTTATCGAAAAATTAAAAACAATCAATAAACAAATTTTAACAGAGATAATAGCTTGATTCATGGGTTGATCTAAGCTAGATCATCAATGAAAACCTGGAATCACTGAATGACTATTTCGTCCCGCGCACGGGATCGTGGATGCGTATTGCTGAGGAGTCCCATACTAGGACGAAATGAGTATCCACGATTTCACACGAGAGAGTCAAACCCAGGTCCTTCAGTCTCACGCGTGAACGTTTAACCTCTATACCACTGAGTCGGTCGGGATTCAACGGTATTATTGTCTAACTTCAACTAATCCAGCTAGCTTTAATCAATTCATGAATTCAACTATTAAATTACAACAACCTCCACAAAAAATACTCTCTTTCGGTTAATAGTACAAAATATTGTGTTGACAACTAATGTAAATAATAATTTAATTGAAATTCATTAGGAAATAAATTTATCTACATAATTATTCATACTTACTTACCCAATTACTTACTTACTTACTTACTTACTTACTTACTTACTTACTTACTTACTTACTTACTTACTTACTTACTTACTTACTTACTTACTTACTTACTTACTTACTTACTTACTTACTTACTTACTTACTTACTTACTTACTTACTTACTTACTTACTTACTTACTTACTTACTTACTTACTTACTTACTTACTTACTTACTTACTTACTTACTTACTTACTTACTTACTTACTCTTACTTACTTACTTACTTACTTACTTACTTACTTACTTACTTACTTACTTACTTACTTACTTACTTACTTACTTACTTACTTACTTACTTACTTACTTACTTACTTACTTACTTACTTACTTACTTACTTACCTACCTACTTACTTACTTACTTACTTACTTACTTACTTACTTACTTACTTACTTACTTATTTACTTACTTACTAACTTACTTACTTACCTACGCTTGTTACTCCCAATTGAGCATAGGCGATCGACTAGCATTTTCCAAACCACTCTGTCATGGGCCTACCTTTCTAGTTCTATCCAATTGTTGTTCATTCTTCTCATGTTTGCCTACATATTTCACAGGTTTATTTCAATGTTTTTCTTGTTTTTCCTGAGATATACAGATTGGTAATAAATGAACATTAGTTGTTATTGAACAAAACAGAAAAAAAAACAAAAAAAACTGGAAACACCTGACTTTATATTGTTACTATGCATGAGAACAATATCATTTCCGTAAATAGATAGTAAACATGTAATGAAATAAACAATTAAACTATACTATTGAATGATTGTTTAATCAGTAATAAATGAAAAATTAAATACAGAGTGTTAACTTCCTGATATTGAGATGTATGTGTAGATTACCGCGTAAAATGTGTTTCTAACTTTAGTTATATATGCATAGATCATTAGACTTATATCATTCAGTTCAATAATTATTTAATTAGTTAGTATCTAGGTAGAAAAAAAAACACAACAAAACTTGAAAAATATCTAAAAGGGGATTTTGTGGATATTATAGTAATTTCAGTAGCTGAGATCATGAGTCAGTTGAAGCTAGATAACCATAGAAAACCTGGTACCACTAAATATAAAACAATTCAGTGATGTACAAATTGCTCATATGAATGAATTATAACTTCACAAGAAAGAAAGTCTCATAAAAGGTACAGTTCATCTTTTTGTACAACCTATGACTGATTGTTGTTTGATCTACAAAAAGAAGGTACGTAAAGAAACCAATTTCATTAAAATCATGAACCAAACTAAGTAAGAAACCGATTGAAAACCTAAAAACGAAATAAGGATCTTCATTTTCATGTGCGAACATAGACTAATCTAAACAAAATTAGATAACGATGACGATGATGATGGTGGTGGTGGTGATGTTGATGATGGGGTATAAATATGTGAACTATAAGATAAAATATATAAATATTTTGAAATTTATCGTTTGGGTTAAGATCAATTAAGAAAGCCTAATCCTTTTTTTGTTTATTAAAGAATGGCTAATATGCATTTAAATACATACATACTGACATGCACCCATAAATCTGGAACAGTACAATATACATATACATTTGAGATGGTGGAGAAGATTTGTAGCTCAGGTGGATGATTTTGGTGGAGTTTCGTTCTCTGAGCTGGATGGTTTGGTCGTGGAGCTTTCATCGTTCTTCTGAACGACATCATCAGCACAAACTTCAGATAGAAGTGAAGTGTTTGAATTTCTCCATATGTGTCTCAAAGCTTGTTCTGTGCACCTCGACGTTGATTGGTTCTTATTGACCTTAAATTTGTCGTTGTTTACTTCTTTGTTTTGGTTGTGTTTCCCATTGTTTTGATTTTTGTTCTTATGTTTGTGCATGATTTTTCTGATTGGTTGATAAATTGGATTGATTTCAATATGCTTGTTGATTGCTGATTGACCTGAGTGCCAGGCTTCTAAACATTCTCTGGTGTTTTTGGAGTTTCCTCTGTCTAAGATTTCCAAATTTTTCCAATCGAATGACTGTCCGCAGTTGTCCACGTGTATTGATATAAGTGAAGAGATATCATGCCGTTTGATTGCTAATTGATGTTCATGTAGGCGAAGGTGAAGGGGGCGTCCACTTTGTCCGATGTAGTGTTTTCCGCAGTTGGCACAATTTATCTTGTAGATGATGTTTGATTTGTTTTCCTTTGTTATTTCATCTTTTGGTTTGCATAAGATTGATTGTAGTGATTTTGTCGGTTTGTGTGCCACGACAAATTTAAGGTCAATAAGAACCAATCAACGTCGAGGTGCACAGAACAAGCTTTGAGACACATATGGAGAAATTCAAACACTTCACTTCTATCTGAAGTTTGTGCTGATGATGTCGTTCAGAAGAACGATGAAAGCTCCACGACCAAACCATCCAGCTCAGAGAACGAAACTCCACCAACATATACATTTGTTTAATGTATAATTCAATCACACGTAAATATGTACAATATATTTAATATACTAAACAATGATACCTATTTTGTGGTCTACTTCTTCCTGTTTCTGCCTGGTTAGTTGGCAATAGGAATAATATGACAGAACTTGCCAAAATAATATTATTAATAATAAAGTGGCTATAACATCTTTGTTTTAAAAATGACACTAATTGTTTGTTTTGTTTTTCATAAAACAATTTTATTTTCTATTCAGGTATTCTAAATAAATGGACAGTAATTTGAATCGATCTGAGAATTCCGATATTGAAAATATTGATGAACTACCTGAGGAGAATAAGTAAGATTCAATGATATTATTAAAAGTAATACTTATTAGTAAGTTATAGTTCTATAATATACCCTTGTGAGCCAGGGTAATTTTACATTGGTTTTCAGGAGAATCAGACACCATCCAGACTTTCACATGACGACCCAAACAGTACAGCTCAATACCGTTTAACAGGAGAGCCAGACACTCCTCAGGCTTAAATTTTATAACCTAACCAGTACAGCCCAATACCGCTTCAGAGGAGAACCAGACACCGTATAGGTTTCAGCAGTACAATCTGAATAGCACAGCTCAGTCCTATGGTGCAACCACACAGGTACCAAGCACCCTGGTGGATCATTCGCAACATTCATATACACATTCACGTCACATGTTTAGTTATTCAGATTAATGATCGCGTGAATCAATTATACACAGCACGGATAGGCCGAAGTTGGCCTATTTCGCTTACACAACTGTCGAAGTCATTAATGTTAGCAATGGCGACATGTCTTACAATGTCCTAATGACAATGGCCGTCGGGAACACTGAAAAGCAACCACCAGTATGAATAGAATTGGTTAACCAACAAACCAATTTTGTGCATGAACAGTCGGCAAAACTTGTCAAAGTGATGCCGAATCATCCATAATACCGATGGCGAACCTCCAATCTCATATGAAACCTTCAGCTCTACATAGCCATATAGCTTATTAGTAATAAAGCAAGAGCGATGATTGGTGCAGAATAATATGAATTCATTTTATTTCGTTAGGTTCTCATCAGTTGCTTACAACCTCAAGTATTTAAAATTCAAAATTATTACAGATATTGATATATTTATACATAAGAGAGTGATTAAAGATGAATAAATGTGTATCATGGTGTAGTGAAGATTCCGACACAGTTGAGAGCGAAAGTTCCAGAACATTGAAATAGTGATTAGAACTCATGAAAATAGATTGATGATAATAAAGAAAATATGAATTGAAATCAAACACTTATGTATGATGTAATTTAAACTTCAGAAAGAGTTGGAATAATGACGCAATAAATTAAATAATTAATTAATAGAAATAAATGAATAAAAAGGGGGGGGTTATTTTCACCAGGGTAAAGAAAGATTTATTACTGTCGCTTTGGTTTGGTTTTAGACGTTTGATTGCTAATGCTTCGGCAAATTTCAGAAGGTTGGAGCTTGATTGTTTATTAATCACCTTGAAGGACTTCAAGGTATCGACTTCGTGTCCTGTGTCTAGGAGATGTCTTGCGATGGCACTGTTGAATGCTTTCAATCCATTTGATGTCAAACTTTTCAGAACATGTTCTTTGAATCGGACGTAGGCTCTCCTTTCTGTCCTATCAATGTATCTGCTCTGGCAAATACATGTGAATTCGTATACACAGTTGGTAGTAACATGAAAGGGATACTTGTCGATCTTTGATTGTGTCGAACAACATGTTGTTTTGGACAGGACAATCAATTTTTGCTGTAGGATAAGTTCTTGTCAATGCAGTATTTAGCCTCATATGATTGATCCTGTGACATTATCACCTTTGAATTTAAGTTGAATAAAAATAGGCTTTTTATTTGTTGTAATTTCTTTGGGTATTTTATCTTCACGTTTGCCATATTTCTCAATAAATTTCAGTGGGCACCCGTTATTCTTTAAACATTTTTTCACATTCATAACTTCCTCATCTAGTGTATCGGAAGCACATATTCTTTCTGTTCTGTGAAACAGTGTTTTGACCAGTGCCCTTTTGTAACTGATTAGACAAAAGCTATTAAAACTGAGATAACTTCCATTCCATGTGTCTTTTTTATAAGCTGAACGTTGAACTGTACCATCCTTTCTTCGTTTTATCGCAATATTGAGAAAATGGAACTTGTTTTCTTTTTCATGTTCCATAGTGAAATGGATATTTGGATGGGCTTCGTTGAAAAACTTTAGCATATTTGTTGCATGTTGTTGATTATTACATACGATGAAGGTATCATCAAGATACCTCGAATAATACATCATTTCACCAATCGCTCCTTTGAGCTTGGTTCTTTCGAGGTTAGTCATGAAAATATCTGCTAGGACAGGACCTAACGAACTTCCCATTGCTACACCATCGGTTTGTCTGTATATGATATCGTTGAACTGGAACTGAACATATTTTGTACAAATGAGTAACAGTCGTTTGAATTCTGGCGCTGGTAGAGGTAGGATGTCAGAATACTGACAAATTATGTCTATGGTTTCACGAAGTGGTATTTTTGTAAACAATGATGTCACATCAAAAGAAACCATAAACTTATGTGGTTTATCCTGTCAGCAAATACAAATGAATCATTTATTGTATACGTGGCTAGTCGTTGACGCACTGGTTCTAACTTATCTGCCAACCATCGTGCAATTCTGTGGTATGGTGAATTGACCATTGACAAAATAGGTCTTAGAGAATAACCTTGTTTATGTATTTTTGGTAATCCATACATGTGGGGCAAACGAGACCCACGAGGTCGTAGATTATTGTAAGTAGGATTATCGATCAACTTTTTTTCAGATCTCTGAGTACTTTGGTGATTCTTTTCTCAGTGGAATCAGTTAAGTCTTTATTGCCATTAATCTATTTTCATGAGTTCTAATTACTATTTCAATGTCCCGGAACTTTCCCTCTCAAACTTTATTTATTCGAGACAAAAATTTTATGACCTCATCAACCCTATCGGAATCTTCGCTACACCACGATACACATATATTCACCCATTAATCACACTCTTATGTATAAATATGTCAATATCTGTAATAACGTTCAATTTTAAATACTTTAGGTTGTAAGCAACTGATGAGAACCTAACAAAGTAAAATGAATTCATATTATTCTGCACCAATCTTTGTTCTTGCTCTCTTTAAGATAATAAAGGGAACTATGTGTATGTTATTAGTAATATCTGTCATTTTTTGTTGTTTTACAGTAGAGCTACTGAAATTTTCGATATTTTTGGATGTATTATAGACAAGTTTTACATATCAATTCTTATACAACTTAAACTTGAATATCTATATGATTGACTGATAACGATGAAGAAAACTAGTGAAAACTAGAAAGCATCTTGTCCTAGTATGGGGATGTATCTACGACCCCTCATTCGGTAATCGAACACAGAACCAACTACTGCATACTGAAACGTCAAACATTTGACTATGAATTTAAATAAAGCCAGAACAAATAATGATTCAGAATAATATGAATTCATTATATTTTGTGGTTTCTCGTCAACTGCTTACAACCAAATATGTGCTACGGGCTAACCCCTCCCCATAATTGACTAATTGAGCAAGAACACAAGAGTGAATGAGAAAAAGTATTGTACTACTGAATAAAATGCACAAATACAGAACAGGTCAAAGGTTATTAGGTTTAGAATCGAGGAAATATTAAGGATGAGTGGTGTTCAGAAATAGATAAAATAAATTGTGTGATAGTTATAGAAGTAATAAAGGATTCATAGAATTAAAAAATTGATAAGATTGGTTACGTAATAATTGAATAGAATTTGAAGAGTTCACATAATTTAAGAGAATCAAGTGAGCAGAAATGTGTGAGTGAAAGAGTGGTTTAAGAATTCGGTAATGGGAGAGAAATAAAACTAATAACCAAAAACAAAAATAAACAAAAAAAAATTGGATTAACAGGGTAGTAATAAGTTTATTACTACCTCTTTTTGAATACATAGATTCGGTTTAGGTTTTTTTATCGCGATCGCTTCAGCAAAACAGAGAGCAACCGTACTTCTTTGTCTACTAATAATTTTAAAAGCCTGAGGGATATTAATGGTATGCGCCTGGTGTCAAGTAAATGCCAAGCTATCGCACTATTGAGAGCCCTAGTCCCTCTCAGTCTAAATTTCTTTGGATCATGCTCAGAAATGCGAACATGTATTCTTCTCTCGGTTCTTCCAATATATATGCTATGGCACGCACATGTAAATTGGTAAATACATTTGGAGCTACTGAGAAAAGAGGACTTGTCGATTTTAGTTTGTTTAAGTGAGCAGTTCGTTTCCCATACTGTCATCAGTTTTGCTGCTAGATAGGTCACTTTCAACGTGGAGTTTATTCTATGATTAATTATTCCAGTAATTTCATCTCCTTTCAAGCGTAAGTATAAGAAGCAATGTAATGCATACATATTTAGTTGTAAGCAGATGATGATGAGAAATTATGACAACATAATGAATTCATATTAGTCTGCGACAGTTTTCGTTCTGGCTTTATTTCAATTCATAAAGGGAACTAATTGCATGAAACAATTGACTATGATCTTTTTGTAATATAAATTCTATAAAATTAGTGGAATTGATAACATGTTTTATGGGAAGTATAGTAATAGTAACAGGGAAACAATCTTTAAGGAAGTTTTACACAATGAACATGACTTATTCAGTATACAGTAAACCAGAGAACCATGTACTTATTTGTATTCGATAATTTTGGTGTTTGACTATATTCATTTGAAAAAGCTTGGATCAGATTGCCAGATGAGACTTTGAATTTACTTCAAGTTCTTTCACTGAGATTTTACAAATACAACATTCTTCCTCTTTAATATTTCACATTAACTCAGAGCCCAAATACTGTGAAACTATTCAATCAAATTTATGATCATAGTAACGATGAAAATTAAATTAAGAAATATAAAAAACTGTTGAACAAGTTACTTATCATTCGGAAGGAAGTGATGAACAATTTGTGATGGTCTGTTGATTATCAACTTAATGTTTTGCATCAATTAAGTGATTTATTAATTGATCTTACTTATCTTCTACCGAAGGTAAAGTGATATTCAAAAATGTAACGATGAACATATCTAATTGTGGGTTTGATACAAGTGACTAGATAACAATAATCAATGTGGTAAATACAAGTAGATGAGGTGAACTTAGGGGGGAGGGTCTATCATCAATTCCGATTCTAATAATCGGTTGGTTATTAATTCACTGAGTGTTGCTTCAGAATCGTTACCTTAAGAATACTGGCTTTTTAGGAAGTGTAGTTATCTATGACTTTGACCTATCCTGGGTCATGTGTTTTTTGATAAATTTCAATAGATAAGTGTTCAGACTGACTAAGTTGTGAATGAGATTTAAATCCTCTTCAATAATATACTCGGAGCAGATACGTTTCGTAAGAAGTATTCAACTCTTCAACAGATTACTTTTGTATCTAGGGTGAACGTAGAAATGTAAAAGTGAGTATATGGATTAGTTGATGTTGAGTTATGATGTATACTTTCTTTTAAAATCTCATTGAATCTTCTTGTTTACAAGACGTCTAAAAATGAGGTAATAGAATTACGCTCTTAATTCATTAATTAAATGAATAATTATCACTTTATCCATCCCATCTTTCATATTTTTTTGTAAATCATTTGTAATCACTTACATAAACAATTTCATTTTACTAAAGCACAGTAGCTTAACGTTTAAATGGGAATTTTTGATTCACTGGGTTATATTCTTTACAAAATCTGCCTATCTTAAGACATATTTCAGTTTTATATATGCTGTATCTCAATAAATATAGATTCAATAGTTAAGTTCATGAGTCAATTGAAGCTAGATCACCATAGAAAACCTGAAAGCACTGGACGGCTGTTTCGTCCTAGCATGGGACTTCTCAGCAGTACACATCCAATATCCCGCCTCGCGAGATCCAAACCCAGATTCATCTACTCATATTTAAGACTCATTTAATAAAAGTTATTACCTGGTCATCTGGCTATAGTTAGTTGAAGAGTGGTCGACAAATTACTCAAGTCATTCCCTGTTTACTATGGATACACATATATTATAACTTACAGTGATCTTATAAAGTGTTTTTGCATTTCTGTAGATTACGGTTTTACAATTGGAACACTATTTTTAATAAACCGATTCTGTACTATATAGTTGACACAGGTGTTTAATTAAACATCTTAAAATCTCATAGTTGATTAAAGGATATCTCGATAAATTGTCCAATTTCAAACATAATTTTCCTCATGAATTGATGTCAAATACAGAACTTAGTGAAACCTACTTCGAAGCATATCAACTTCATTCACTTAGGACCATGCTATAAATTGATTAAATAGGTTTCAAACATCATAGCAAACATAAAATTGAAGACCGACAAGTCAACAATTAATTCTCTATGATCCTTGAAACTGTAGTCATTCAACACCTAAAAGTACTGTAATTCTAAACAAAATACACAATTATTGTTAATACAAGGTGCTTTGGAGATTGTTGAATTTAAATTTTCTAAATGTAATTCCAAAACTCCGCCTGTAGCTCTTCTAGAGTTACTGCCGGTCACAAGCGCGGGTAAAGGAGGAGTGTTGGGCATACGGTTAGCGTCTCCATCCCGTAGAAAACTAACTCGCTGAAAAAACGCTTACCAGAAAAAAATAATTCAAACCAATTTAATTCCAAGAGTTTCATTTAGACAATGAAACAAACACTACCAATGTTAATGGTTTATTGTAATGCAATGTTGTGAGTTGAATGAAGTTAGAAGCGTTAACTACTAAATATTAACTCTAAGTGTTATGACTTGCGGTGTCTAAAATTTGATAATGATAGACGGTGTGCTACGGGCTAACCCCTCCCCATAACTGACTAATTGAGCAAGAACACAAGAGTGAGTGAGAAAAAGTATTGTACTACGGAATAAAATGCACAAATACTCATATATATATCCTGTAGGTTACTTCTGATTGCCACTAACTAACCTTCTCATTAGGCTACTTCTGGTTACCTCTCTATATGATCAGGATTATAAAAATAACTCATTATACAGGATCCAATCCTTAATTAGATTATGGATTGTGCATTTCTGATGAATCGCATACTTGGATAAAGCTATTCAATAATCCCTGATATTTAATAATTGTTTAACATGAATCGCTTCGTGATACTCTATTACCAAAACCATTACTTTTCATCAATCCTATTTCTTTGAACATATCAATTTAATTTTATCAATGTCTATAGTTACAATTGACACACACATATACATACGCACAAACAGACACACAGACACACTGGTACTGTTACAAATTCGTTGTAACCAGTAAACAACGTTATATTCAAATTGAAATATCTACGCGCCACAAAATCTCAACAATATAACAATATTAAGATTATAAGCAAAGATGGATAGTGGCTAGCAGTGGAATCCAGGACGCGCGTCTCGCCCTGTTTGGGACTCGTCAGCTGGATGTACCTGCATCTCAGAGTTGATGTTCACTCTGGGACTCGAACTCAGTACCGTTCGCTTCAAACGCCATCGCGTTATCCACTTAGCTACTGAGTCCTGATAGCCACTTGCTTGTGCAATGGGTTGAAGTTTAATTCACTTGATATTGTTTTACTTGAATCTTCCCATTGATGTTTTTGGTCTGAAATTGATCAGTCTCTTATTGGCATATGTGCATACTGTGCGTATGCCTCGATATTGCCTTAATTTACAAGCATTATAAGCAACTCTGAGATGCAGGCACATCCAGCTGACGAGTCCCAAACAGGACGAAACGCCGTCCTGGATTCCACTGCTAGCCACTATCCATCTTCGCTTATAATGCTTGTAAATTAAGGCAATATCGAGGCATACGCACAGTATGCACATAAGCCAATAAGAGAATGATCAATTTCAGACCAAAAACATCAATGGGAAGATTCAAGTAAAACAATATCAAGTGAATATTAAGATTATTAATAAACTATAAGCGACTAATCAAAATGATTAAGCGCTCGTACATGAGGCAAGATCGTGGATGCACACTGTTGAAGAGTCCTACAATAGAACGAAACAGTTGTCCAATGCTTCCAGATTTTCCATGGTTATCTAACTTCAAATAAACTCATGAGCTCAACTATGAAAATTAATCAAAATTCATTGAAATAATGAAATTATCCATGTATTACATAAACATAAAACATAAATACTTGTTCATTATTAACGATACATTTTTGGCTAACTTTGATGTACTTTTTTTTAGAAAAAAAAGAAAAAATAAACATTTGAAAGGGGATCACTAGTTGTACAGATATACAACTATTGTTTGGCTGCTTGTTTGTTCGTTCGTTCGTTTGTTTGCTTGTTTGTTTTTCTATTTCATAATCCTATGTAAGTTAAAATAGTCCAACATATAAGTAGGATACATGATTGAAGTTTGTTAAATAAATGAAAATTGAAAAATTAAATAAAGCGTAAACAACATGGTTTGTAGAATAATATATTGTTGCTGTTGGTGGTGGTGGTGATGGTGTTGTTGTTGTTGTTTTTCTCTTTGTTTAAATTCATTAGGGGATAAAATTGTAGGATGAATTTTTAATAATTCATTTCAGAACATAACATGGATAGAAAAATGTTAAACATATATATATAAATAATTCAATAGTTGAAATCATGAGTCAATTGAAGGTAGACTACCGTGAAAAACCTGGAAGCATTGAACGGCCGTTTCGTTCTATTATGGGACTCCTCAGCAATACGCATCCACGATCCCACCTCATGGTGTTCGAACCGAGGACCTATCAGTCTTGCGTGCGAGCGCTTAACCATTAGACCACTGAGACTGCCAGTATCCAATGGTGTTAATGTCTAAATTCAACTAATCCACGAAATTGAGAGACACATCCACCATTGTGTTCAGTGAGTTGCTATCTCACAACAGACCCAGTGGAATTCCACTGGTCACTGCTTCTCACTAGAACTCCAGGAAATAAATCTTGGAGACCGTCAATAGTGAGCATATGTTGATTGATATCAGAAGGGCTGATTTCAGGTTTTCCATGGTGGCCTGGTTTCAACTGACTCATGATCTAAACTATTGAAATTATTACTACCAAATGGTAAATTCTTTGTTTTTCCAATACTATTTCCATTGATCTCTCTTTTTTGAGTAAATACGGTTATATCTCAAATTTATATGCTGGATTTTTAAAGATTTAGGATTGACTTTTGCTTAAAACTTGGAGTATATAGTCTAATACTGACCATAAAGAAGAAGAAATGCCGAATTATCTAAAACTAAAGTGTGAGACTTACGAACAAATTTCACTATGTATTATATGGTTAAATAAAGTTAAGTTGACAAACTTTAATTTTCATTAGAAGGGGTTTATTGTGAAGATTTTAGACATTCAAACCGTTAGATACCGGCCGGCTCAGTGATCTAATGGTTAAGCGCTTGTTTGCGAAACTGATAGGCCCTGGGTTCGAATCTCGCGGGGGGGCACGATTGTTGATGCGCATTGCCACCGCGGAGTCCAATGCTTACAAGGTTTCCATGGTGATCTAGCTTCAGTTGACTTATCATTTCAACTATTGAAACTTTAATTTATTTAAACATTTGAAAATAGTTTAATTTTTCATTCTTTTTTAAAATATTTTCAGTGAATTTGAAACATTAAAAGTTCTTCAACAATCATCTACTTCAAAAGAATCAATTCAACAAAAATCATCAAAATATAAAAAATATACTAAATGGATATGTAATTGTAATAGAACTATTACTAAACAATGTATAAAACGTCAATTTAATCGTAGTAAAACAACAATTGAAGAACATATTTGTTATCCATGGTTAAGACGTTTATTTTTTCATTTATCCAATTATTTTCCAAATCTTCATACAACTAGATCTTCAAGAAATTATCGATCACAAACATCGACATCATCATCATCAACAGTAATAAATCGTCGACAAAATAAAAATTTACCATTAAATAAAAACATTAACACATATATTTATAAATCACCAACTAGATTATATAAAGAGAACGATAATCAACAATTGCATAAACATAATACTATTGAATGTATTAATTCAATTACAAGAATATCAATGAATGATCTTAATTCATCAGATACATCTTATCTTGCAGAAGATAATCATGATGACATTAAAAATGATACAAGTAATAATATGAATAATAGATTTAAACGTAGACCATTACAAAGACAAAAATCTAATGGATTTATTGATTTGGATATAGAACCAGAAATTAATCTTAGAGATAGGTAATGATAATTGATTTTATAATAGATTATATTTTCGATTGGAGAACGGTAAGATTAAAAGCAGCAACTCAAGGTCTGAGAGCGAAGTCGTACTGCTGACTGTACAGAGGTGTGATAGCAGTAAGGTGTTTCCCTCAGACAACCAGCATCTGCAGCGATGCTGCCTTCCCGCAAGGAGGGGTGGGGTTAGAAAAGGTCGACCTTAAAAATGTCACATCTCACCTTACCTCACGGATTTCCGTCTTCGGCAGTAAGGCCCTTTGAAGAACGGAGCTAACACGTTAAAAACCTTCCACAAAAAGGCTGTGCGCGACCGGCCTAAAGCAGTTGTCCCTTGAACTCTGCGGTCACGCTCCCAGGTCGTCAAGACCAACACTAATCCAATTTCCTTTTCAGGTTCCTCATGGAATGATATCCGAAAAGCTGTGGAAACAGCAGTGATATCTACTAGTACGGTAACCCGTAAGGTTAGGGAGCAACACTGGATCTCAGCAGCAACGTAGTGAAACTTCATCAGTTGAGATGGCTGGGACACGTGTTACGTATGCCCAACGACCGACTGCCTCAACGTGCGATGTTTTGTGGTATAGGAGTAGGTTGGAAGAAAGCTAGGGGCGGTCAGACCAAAACATGGCACAAGTTCATGAAGTCACTGACAAGTGGATTGAGTCATGTTGGTAAGTGTAGACTACCTGGTTGGGGACCGCGAGATGATAGCAACCGATGGTTAGAGACCCTGAATGACATGGCTCAAAATCGTTTGCAATGGCGCAGGTGCATACACTCTTTGTGTTCTCTCAAATTTTGATCTCCTTATTCCTCCTTGTCACTTTTTTTTCTCTTCCCAAATTTATTTCACTGTGTTATACTCTTTAAATAACATCTCCAAACACTAATTTTCCTGATTACCGCTTATACTCTTATTCCCTCTACCACTACGGGATTTGAATCGACCACTGCATCTCTGTGCTAATGTGGTGTGGCAACTCGAACTGATGTACGTACGTACGAAGTTCTACGTTGTTACTGACTGACTGACTGACTATATTTTTCTGTTGTAATTTCATTGATATGACATAATACTGAAAATTAGAAGTATCTGTTAAACTATATTACATAAATGAACAATTTTATTGTATAACTTTAGTCGTTGAGTGTGCTTTCTACTGGAAGTTACATTTTTTGGACGAGCCAATCAGAAGCGTTTGAGAGGTTTCAGGGTCAATGCGCTAATTTCAGTGCTTGATGCTAACGTACGATCGGTTCACAGGGAATTTTGTACAAAACGTGATAATTGAGCGGCTATGACAAATAAAATGAATCAATCAAGTAGAAGATAACAGATCTTAGATTTTAGAGCGAAAGTCTTTCATCCATTTGGCTAAATACATTTCTGGCATTATAGCTGATGTCGGTTTGTGACGAATTATGACAATTGTTGCCACCTGGATAATAAAAGTGACAGTAACACTGACTGCAGCTAGGTACTACAATATGTACGGATGATTGAAGAGCCGTTCAATGCTTCCAAGCTTTCAATGATGGTCTAACATTCGTCGATTCACAGTATGGGGTTGTGGAGATTATTAAGTTTTTGATTGAGATCATGAACTGATTGATGTTAGATCACCATTGAAAACTTGGAAGCACTGGACAACCGTCTCGTCCTATGGTGGAACCCCTCAACAGTGCGCATCCATGATCCTGCTTAACCTTAAAATAGATTTCGTTATAGGGCTAATGAAAACTAGTGAATATTGAACCATTATTTTTTTTCTTAAAATATTTAATTGTTCCAGCTAATTTCCATTGAATCTAGAATTCAACCTAAGAGCTTTCAGTTCTCATGAATAACATTTTTATACTCGGTTGGATAAAATTATACCCAGATAATAAATCTTTAATAGAATGGAATGTACAATAAAGTATAAAAGTTATTAAACTATTATCATTAATAATAAAAAAGGAAGTATCCAGCTGCCAAGCTGATTCTCTCTGTATCAAACAAATAGATCATTTAAACAGACATGTGTTGACGAATTCCCGCCTTTTTGTTGCTTCCAGTTGTATCTACCAATGTACATTTACATACTTTGAAAGAAGAGAAAGGAAGGTTACTGTTCACATTTATGAGTACATTCTATAAAAGCTAAGGCTAAAAGGACACGTTTTCAGTAGTGCAATCGCACGCCATTTGCTTAATAGTGGCTATATTGTTGATACCTCAAATTCCTTCAGGTTAATTAATAAACAAAGAACGTCGAATTTACTACAGTTTGCCAAGGGAATTGCCATAAAAAGACAAACCAAATACATATATCCAAAAAGATTCAGTTACCAACTTTGCTTTTCATGGTGAACTCATTCATAAGTGATTATTACGCAATTCTTTTTTTCATGATACTAACTAGAAACGCTCACTTCTTATCTATTCTAGAATATCAGGGGTTTAGTGGAGATTTTAGTAATTTCAATAGTTTAAATCATGAGTCAATTGAAGCTAGACCACCATGGAAAACCTAGGCGGGATCGTGGATGCGAACTGCCACTGAGGAGTCCCATACTAGGACAAAACAGCCGTCCAATGCTTTTAGATTTTCCATGATGGTATAGCTTCAACTGACTCATGATTTAAACTATTGATGCTCTAGAATATTCTTATATTCAACCTATAAATATTCAAATTATTCAATATATCAACATCTCTTATAGTACTTCCATAGTTATTTAGGCAAGAACAAACAAATCAGATATAAGATGACAAGTCTCGGATTATGGCATGAAATTCACTTATCAATTAGGCTAAACAGCGTTTCGACATTTTAGCTGATGTCAGTTCGTGATAAAAAAAAACCGTAAATCTAATTTCTAACCTTAATCGTCAACTGTAAATCAACATTCGAATTCCTCACACTAATTTATAACCCTTATTTGGTCTTAGTTATTAGATAGACACTTTCAAGGTTACTATAGTGTCACTAAAAAGGTCGTCCATAAATTATAGTCTTACTGTTATCTCTCTCTTTTCATTAATCTTTATCGGTATCTTTATTCTTTTCATAGATTAACTTCTAATTGTTCATCTGAAAATAATAATAATCTAAATATACAAATAGGTAAATTAATAACTCCTAAAACAGAATCCATTATACAACCTATTCAACATTATCAATCCAATGATGATCTAATTCATGTTAAACAAAATAATAGTTCATATAATAATAATAATCGACTTCAAGAAACACATACTATTTTATCACCATCATCTTCATCATCATCGATTATTGATAAAATCAATAAATCACAATTAATTAAACCAGTATTATGTAATAATTATCCATCAACAAGAATAAAATCTCATCATCATTTACAAATAATCAATAATGAACAAAATATGATTAAATCATCGGATATTCACTTAAATGATAATATAATTAAATCAATAAATCGTCGAGCTTATATGACACGTTCAGCCAATTTAATATATGATACATTAGATGAACCAATTGATAATTATAATATCAATGATCAACATAAAACAATTTTATCTGCTTCTACACGAATTTATAATGATAATAATATTAATAATAATTTAGGTTATAATGATATACCTGGTAAGTGAATCATAAATAAAATATATAGGAACTGTAACAGTAGGGTTTTTGGTGAGACTATAATGTACAGATGAGTTAATCTGAAGAGTTTGGCGGTGGGTTTCAAGGCCAAGACACCAGTTTCTGTATCTGGTGCTTATGTGTGATCGATTCATAGTAGATTTTTAGAGAAAACGGGATAATTAAGCGGCTAAAACAAATGGGACTATTAAGAAGTTCTTTTATTTGTGATCGTGATAATCAAATAATTTGTGAACCTTGTGTAGACTACCGTGATGTTGTCTTTCAATGTAATATGTATTGCAGGAAGAAGTCTGCTAGAATAGGATTTTTTGCTCGATCCAGATTGATAATTGTTGCCACTTGGATAATAAAAGTGACAGTAACACTGGCCACAGCTAGGTACTACAATATATACGGATGATTGGAGAGCATACAGATGACTACATAGACTTGGTTATGTGCATCGTGTCGTTATCCACAAGCGGCATCTTGTGGACCCAACAACCTGAGTGCACACAAACAATATCCAAGCTATGTGGTCGAGGCTCAAAGAGTTTTTGCGACCTTATCATGACTCAAGAGGCCAATTATTATGGAGTCATACAGAAAATTTCCTCTACTGAATGTAATACGATTTTAGAACCGCTTTCTAACCATGACAAGTTTTTAAACCATGTAGAATAAGTAAGAACGCTTTATTTCTTTGGTTTTGTATAATATACTTTTACTGTGTACCACCTGCTTTCTGACCGGTCAATAATTCTCAAGGTTACTTACAATTTGTTCAAAGGTCGTTCACAAATTATGATCTCGCCAATCCTCAAAAAGTATTCAATAACAAGGAATATTTCAGTAAACAATTTGTCTTCAATAACTTCATCATCAAACTCTACAGTTATATGTCGATAATTGTTGTATTGCAATAGATGAAATAAAGTATACATAAAAGGATTGAGCATTACTGTAATATGTGCTACTTATGTCTGTCGATATGAGTGGTATGTAACACTAATCGGAATTGGAAAACCTGGCATTAGAGGGCTATGAAGGTCTACTTTTAAAAAACAGTAACAGAATTAGAAAGGAATTGCGGATCGAAAAAAAATCATACAGGATATGAAAGACCAATGATAGAAATTTGCAAACGAAGTATTTAATGTATGGTTCACATATTTTACCAAGATACTTTGTAATTTTATATTAGGACTCATTTGGTCATCCTCATTCATTGCAATAATATATGATCGAATAGTGAATTTCCCAACTCTTATGATTTAGATATGTCAAAATTATCATTTATAATTTGGTAAGGTCATTTAGAAACAGATAGAAGAATTCATTGCAGTTTCCAGTTACAGTTGAAGTAATAACAATGGGAGAAATGTTGCTCGGTTAATTGAGATAATAATAATAATGATAATTTTATGATATGTGATTAGAGAGGTTATAGAATCTAAACTAAGGTTTGGACTGAAGAATAACTGTCTAGGTAGTTTAGATACGTGCTATTGCCTAGTTGAAACTAAAACACAAGGTGATTAAGTAAATGACGGCTCTAGATTTCATTATAAATATAAATGTACATTATTACGTAAACAAGCATTACCACCTAGTTATTCAACCAATAATAGTTCAATCAGTAATCAAATCAAGCGTAACAAATAAATGTTATTCTATCCTTTTTGGATAGATCATGTACAGACTCACTCAAAAGATAATATTTGGTTGCTTTATAACACAGAGTGTTTCTAATTCTGGAAGAGTGCTTCAATTCACAATTAAAAATGCACAATTCCAGTCAATGCAAGCAACACAACAAATCAATATGGCTGCCACCAAGACTAAGTATCAACTAAAACAACATAAATGCAATTCAAAAAGAAACATGAAAACTCAGTGAAGGCGTAAGAAAAATAAAAACCATAATAATAAAATACAAGTATTACCATCTCAAAGAGAATCAAAAAGACTAAAAAACTATACAACTGAAGGAATCAATAAGGACAAATTACAAGTGTATACATGAAGGGATTTTCACACACAAAACCTTCAAAATGGATCTTACAGAGGTGCTATCAAATTAATTAAAGTAAGAAATTCATATAAATTGAGAAAGATGAATGTGTAAATTAAGAATGAAGCAAAGCAGAAATTCCGATTGATTTCACTATGTAGAGGAATCAGGACAATTAGCCACTGTAATTACATAAATCATGAACATATATAACTATAGAAACTGGTGTTGAAGTTACTGAAAACAATTGGTCACTCTAATATTACCAGTATCTTTGATTAGGTAAGAGGTAATCAACAGGAAACCCTGGACCTAAATCTTATGCCATTTAGCACTCACCAACAACGTTTGTCTTTCTTATGATAAAACTAAATCAAGAGATGTTATCACTAAACTACCCGAACTGGAAATAACCACCTGATTAATCACTAATTAGTGACCATTGTAATATATATCCTTGTTAATTCTGATCAATGGTAACCACTCTAAATATGAAGGTGGATAACACAATATCAAATCCACTAGAGAAAGAGTGTATCAGTTACCCCTTCCCTAGAAATTTCAAATACACATTGCTAACAAGTATCAAATAGTATGAAACACAAGTCATAATTTCTTGTCGACTACTCGCAACCACCACCTTACATCTCCACATAATGCATTTAATGTCGAGTCACCTATATATATACATCAAGTTTGTTTCAAAAAGACATTTGTCTTTTAGTAATACAATATTTAAAACTTTACTTTTTTCTTTTCTAAACTTCCTAGAAAATCAATATTGTATCCAATTTAAAAGAGTAAAAGCTCGACGTACCAGTTCAAGTTCACAAAACGATTGCAATAAAATAATAAAAAATAGAACATTCAATAAAGAACATTCTATACATGATAATAATCTCCAATCAAAATTATATACATCAAATCGTATAAATGATAAGTTAATACAATCTAATCTATATTGTACATTGAATGATTTACCACATGATCAAGAACCTGTGAAAAAACATTTAGAATCATGGTTAAAAGAAACTGTTACTAGAACAATACAAGGAAAAGCTCTGTAGGTTTTACTGTTATTATTATTTTGTTTTTGATAAATTAGTTTATAGTTGAGATCGTGAGTCAATTGAAACTAGATCACCATGGAAAATTTCGAAGTAATGAACGACTGTTTCGTCCTACTGTGAGATTCCTCAGCAGTGCACATCCACGATATCCTCCGTGAGATTCGAACCGAGGACCTCTCAGTCTCATGTGCGAGTGCTTAACCATTAGACCACTGAGTTCAACCAGGTCTGTTGTAAGATATCAACTCATTGAAGACAATGGTGTATGGTGGCGAAACTTCGTGGATTTGTTGAAATTAGACATTAACACCGTTGGATGCCGGCCTAATGGTTAAGCGCTCGCGCGAGAGAGCGATAGGTCCTGGGTTCGAATCTCACGGAGGGCGGGGTCGTGGGTGCGCACTGATGAGGAGTCCCATACTAGGATGAAACGGTCGTCCAGTGCTTCCAGGTTTTCCGTGGTGGTCTAGCTTCAATTCACTCATGATTTCAATTATTGAAATTTTTAAAAGTCCCCACAAAACCCCTTCTGACAATAATAATAATTATTATTATCAACCTATCACTTACAGAACCTTGAAAAAATGTGTTTTTTTTTAAGAATTAAGGTCATATAGCCGAATATAACAATCTCAATCTTTAGTTTTATCCAGTTTCTACATGTACTGGTTATTTATCCCAAAATTCCTATTATGCTTCTTTTTTTTTCTTTAAACAAAAGAAATAATAGAACAAGAAGAATTCATATGTCTCATGTAAGTAGTGGTGAAGAACAAAGAGAACCACCAGAAACAGTTACACCACAACCGCATAGTTTTGATGGACCAGTAACACGTTATCATGATGAATGTTTATTTACTACAAGTTATAGTCAACAATCTATTCAAAAACCATTTAGTAGAAGTTTAAATATATCAACAGATAGTTCACAAATTAAACCACCATCTATTACTAGAGATAGTATTGATGGTTATTTACCTTATTATTATGAAACTGTTTTTGAAAAACATCCAGAAATAAATGATCATCATAATATAAATAAAACTGGTGAAAAAATTAATTTATCTTCATCTAATCGTAATAAATTATATAGGAGAAATAGTATTAATCCTATGTTTGATATAAACAATAAAAATCTTAAATCTACTCAACGATCATCTTTTACTCAACATAGGAATTTTACTATTATCAATCCTAATAATAATAATAATAATCAAATAACTAATGACTATACAGATCATACATTACCATTAATTACCAATAATGATCGTTTACAAATAAATCGTGTATCATATGAACGTGCCAACTCAGCAAAAGAATCAGATCGTATAAAGGAAGAATATTTATATCAATATAATCAATCCGATATTTATAATAATAAACCAATTGTGCATAATACAAATAATGTCAATGATAATAATTTATCTTATTATTGTGCAAACATTACAAGTCAAAATACAGAAAGATTATGTAACACAATAAATCCTAACCAAAGATATAGTTTTAACGAGAAAGTTAAATTGTCTAGATCACCAAATGTTACATCTTTACCAGAGAAATATCGTTTAACGCATACTTTATCAGATGAGAATAAAAATAAAATGATATTTACAACAATGAGCCCTGTTAATACATCACAATCATTACGTAAATTAGTAAACTTGAAAAAATCTCCACAAACATCAATTGATAATACTGGTCAACATGTAAATTATGAATTGTATAGACGTGGATCAAAATATTCTCATATATTAGATCCTTCATTATCTATGGATTGTAGTGTATCACATCAACCACATCAAGGTATGTATAGTGAAAGACGATATTCACGTCATTTAAAACCATTGGATGCTTGGCAAAATAGACAATCACACAGTATGGAAATTGTTTATTCCACACCAAGTAATCAACGTTCATTATCTAGTCCACAAAAACGTAGTCCATTATCGAAACAATCTGCTATTCGTAAACTTCCAGCTATTTATAGTCGATCATTGCAACATTCAACTTGTTCATTTCCTGTTCAATGGGGTGGTTTTCTTAGTGGACCAACATTATCATTAACATCAGCATTTGATTCATCAAGTTTAACACCGGATTCATTAAATCATAGACAATTTTTTCGTAATTCACTTGATTCTCATGAACCAACACAACTTATATCAGGAATACAACATCAACAATATCATCATCGTTCACAAAATTCATATAAAGATAAATTTTTCATTTCACAAGATCATACTTATTCTGCTACAGAATCTCCAAAAAATCTTAATCCATTAAAAGAAAATATTAATAATAGTAGAAATATTAAAAGTTTACAACAATCACATATTAATTTATCACCATGGCCATATAATGCACATTCAGTTACACGTAAAGTACATAGTTTTGAATTAAATCCTAATATACATTGTCAACAACAACAACACCAACAACAATCATCATTATCATCTGATTCTATTAAAAATACTACAATTTTATTAAAAGTAAAAGATAATCTATCATTACCACAATCAAATTCTTCATCAAGACGTGGTTCAGCAAATAGTAATAATTCTGTATTCATATTAAAAGAATTAAAATCAAAATTAAATAATGATACATTACCTAATAATGATTTCATTCCTACTAATAATAATAACTGTACTGATAATACAATATTAAATTCTTCTACTTTATTACAAAATTATAAAACTAAACCATTAGAAAAACTTATACCACCAGATTTAATATTTAGTCCAGCATCACGACGTGCATCAATGATGGATGAAGATATATCATCAAATGTACAAAATTCAATATTGAATATTACAGATGATCTACATGAAGTATATTCAAATCATAATAATAATAACAATAATAATAATCAATTAAATCAATTAATGCCAACTAATTTATTTGAATTCAATCATTCAAATTCATTATCATATCAAAATTTAAATTTAAAATATAATCGACATAAATCAGCTGATACATATTTATCATCAAATAAATTGAATAATTTACATAATTTCTATTCGCATAGAAACAGTACAAATGTTCCACAACAATATAATAATAATAATTATTATTATTTACCTTTTAATCAACAAAATATTACACCACCACCACCCACACCACCACATTCACCTTTATTAATCAATAATAACAATAATAATTACTTTTGTAATAATGAAGATGATTATGCCAATTATCCATATCAATCACATATACATGTAACAACATGTTGTTCACAAATTGACATGAGGAATGTACAAAATGAATGGGATTTTAAATCTAATCAAAATCAAGAACAATTAAATAATTATAATTCTGATTATAATTTAACTAATCATTATAAAGATAATAATAATAATTATTATTATATTAATAAAAATAGAACATCTACAAAACAAATACAGTCAATATCAGATGAAGAATATACTAATCATAAATCATTAATTAAAACAAAAATGAAAACACTTAAAGGTAAAGATTATCTTTTTAAAAGTACACGTGGTAGTGATACAAATATTATTGATCCACAATTACTTAAACCTTCATTAGGACCAGTTATTGATAGTAGTGATGAGAATATAAGTGATAATGATAATAATAATAATAATTATGATGATGATAATGAAGGTGTTGAACGATCACAATCAATGAGCATTCCATCTTCTATAACAAATTCATTACAATCAAGTATATATTATAAAGATAAAAAATCTAATAAAACAAAAGAAATTAATCATAAACAAACTAAAACTGATAGTCATGCGGCTAGACGTAAAAGTTTTCTAGCGAATTATTGTCAACAAACTATTCAACAAGATGATGAACAAAGTAATGAAGATATAAAATTTAATACATATGAATCAGATAATGAATTTAATATAACAACAATTAAATCAAACCGATATGAATCAACTAGTGGATTGAATAAATATAAAGTTAAATATTATACCGAAGATAATAATGATAATGTTAACAACAGGGATTTAACATTATTACAAATAAATAGATCAATAAATACACGATGTAAATCTAGTGATTCTGGATTAAACTACATGAATAACCTTATTAGTAGTAATAAAGATCATAAAAATTTGTCAAATACACGAGAACTCCCATCAATCCATCAACAACAACAACAACAACAACAAAAACACCATCACCAGGATTATCATTCGATCAGAAGAAAATCTCGAAGAAAGTCAAAATATCATTAAGAATTAATATTATTATTATAGTGTATGAACATATTTGATTTTCATTGAATAAACTATCCAACTGGGAATATTCTAATAAATGAATTTAATTTGTTGTGTAAATCATTAATTGATACTGGCGTTTTGTTTAAAACAATCTAAATCAAGAGAATGAAATATTTTGATGTTAGTTTGATGTGGGTTGTTTTTTTTTTCAACCTCTATTTTTTTCACAATTACATTTTGATCATTTTAATTTTGAATAAATTAACTACAAATGTAAATACAACATTGATGTTTGTTGATACGCAGATTTAATTTCGAGCTACATTTAAAATTGATCAAAGCTATAGTTTATTTCAGATAAATATTACTTATGAACACAGATCTAAGCAATTAACACTTCAACTTATTTAGAGAATATAAACAATCTATTTGAACTAAATCATTTATGTAAGAGCTAGTGATATACTAATCAGTGATTCAAACAGAAATATGTTAATTAGGGTTCGGAAACCTTACTGACCATTTTAACCAACAATTTCTATCTACAAACATTCTATGACAAATCACATCAGATCATTTCGTTTATTAAAGATCTTAACTGGTAGAACACAGTGAGTTTAAACAAATAAAAGATAATAATGATCATTATCATGCGTGAATTTCATGCATCAAATAAAGTTACAACTTGTGCTACTTAGTAGATTATAAAATCTTTTCAGTAAGTGATATTGTCCAAATGGATCTTGTTGTCACGCTCGGAGGTCAGTTCAACTTTAAATTTCATCCTATTTTCCTCAAAAAGAAAACCTATAGTAAGGGTGACTGGAAAGTGATAATCACCGTATACATCTACCAGCATTCAGATAAACTATACCCACGACTATGTTTTTTCTATTCTATCCTTCATTTTATCTTGTCCAATATACATAAAAAAGTCAGACGACTAGATAAAACAAAATGTCTTCATCGATCTTCTGGAACTTCACTTTTAAGTACACATCAGAGCCTGGATAAGACCAAATGACAAGCTTCAGGAACTAAAACGTTAGAATTTCGTGTCATCGATATATGCAGTTTCCCCAAATTCTTCATCAAATGAGATGGTTGGGACATGTACTACATATCCCCGCCCACCACCTTCGACGAGCGATGTTATCTCGCGTAGGACGTGAGGAAGCTAGGGTTGTCCGAACAAAGACATCGCACCGGTCTACGAGAAGTCATTGATAACTGGACCGAGCCAGCGTACTAAAAACTTTATGGCGAAATAAAGCTGATCTAATTCGAACTCACTGCATTCCCTGCTTATAAATGAAGAACACCCTCTTGGAACTCATCAGCGTCAACCTAGATTCATTGTACAACGTGAAGTAGTCGAGCGTGTTAACCACTTCACTTAGCAGCCTCATCAAGAATGAAAGTCTGATGGCTAATTGGATCTTGGCAGAGACGTAAGAATGCCTGCTTCTCTTATCGCACGAACAAAGAGCGAGTACACTACACAGCAGCCTATATCCCTGTGGCCACGAAATATGGTCTATAGAAGCAGGATACATGAGTAAGCTCTGATTATTTAACAGAATCCTTTGAAACACAGTGCGTATATGGTGAAACTTCAACTGACCAGTGTGGAGGCGAGGAGTAAAGTGAAAATGACAAGTTGGTGGGAGGTGATAAACCTTCATCAGTAAAAGTAGTTATTACAAATGCGAAGCATTTTTAGCCACTGCCTACCCTAATATTCACTAGTGGTTGGCAATGTTGAGATGACAAACTAACACGTGATATTAGCACAGAACATTTTTGAATGCTCACCTAAGCTATGTGCAGGCTTCCTAGTTAGAACTCGAGCAATATTAATAAACTGTGGTTGGATACTTTGAATGACGGGATCAAAATTTAGCCCGACTCATGTAGTTACGTCCATTTCTTCCTCATCTAGATTTTGAGTTTAGTGTCATACAATACTTTGCACATTCTTAAACCGTATTCCCCATGAGTAGATCTTCAAATCACTAACTTCAACTCATACACATTCATGCCAGGTATTACATCCATCGTTAACCACCTACGACCGGGAGACACTTGTTTCATACTGAGTGATAACTTGTCGAGAGTATGTATGCGTACACATTTGTAGCCGTTATATATCCGTTCAACGGTTCATCACTTTACACAAATAGCTTTGTTCACGTTATCACTCAAAAATAAACGGAAGATACCTAGTTTACGAAAATAAGCTCTATCTAAGAAGCGCATCATATCCATTACATTAAACGCGCTTCTGCCGAAGCGATGAGCTAATTGGGTTTCAAGACATGCTTTCCATGAATCATTCCTGCACCAGCCAATATCTTGGTAAATTCAATGTCTTGCCTAACTGCGAGTAAACATTACCTAAAATAATGATAGCAACTGACTGGAATAACTCCACATCCCCGAGAACCCCAGAATTACTCATTTCAATACTACAAGGAGTGGAAGACAGTCGATTACGACTCCGCTAAGAACCAAATTTCAGGAACGTTTCCAAAATAGATACCACTAAATTTCAAAGGCGAACCTGAACATCAAGAGTTTTGCTTACGAACTCTTTCCTACAGAAGTATGACTTATCTACCTACTTCCTAGACAGATCTAATGACTGTCGGCTCCGTTAAACTAATGTTTGGTGGTGAAAGCTTGCGAATAAATTTTGTGACTGGATACATTTTTCTACAACCAACCATACGAAATGAACGAAAGACTTGTCACTATTGACTCTTAGTATTATAATTACAATCCTTTAAGTATTGGAACCCATCTATGAACTGACTTTCATTCCAACTAAATATTGGCTCATATGTAAGGTCGGCATTGCCACATAAATAGATGGTTACTTGAGTCACCAGTGAATTCTACGGTACGGTAACTCCACACGAAAAGTTAGTTAAGGTAACTAACCAACAACGGACTTTATGCACTCAGTGTAGGAGCACAGTTTGTGTGAGGGCTAATGAAGCGTGTTCCAAAATGAAGTTGACGGAGCGAGTTAGGGATTTCTGACTTATTGGCTGAAACCGAGTATCTTAATATTTGATAAGCGAAGAGAATAGAGAGGTTCTCAATTTTTCCGTAATATAAGACCCCAAACATATGTTCACAAACTGATATTTTATCTAGGCCGTAGCTCACAGTCACAACATAAACCTGTTTGATTCTGAACATATATGCTCAATACACTAAGAATGATATATTAAACTAAACTAGACTTGATCAAATTCCCTGAGCATTCCAATAATTATGTGTTGTGAGGTGAAAAAAAACGGAGAACAATCCACATGGAACCATTACAGTGAACCAGTACTAAATGGAAGACATTGATAACATATCTATTAGCATCATGAAATTATACACAAATACAAAAATAATCACAAAATCTAAGGTTCAAATCTTTAGACTTAGTTCATAAAGCCCGGTATGAAGCATTCACGTCAATTGTGCTGGGTTAGGTTCACAGCTGGGTTCCTGAGGCTCTGCGGAGAGATTACTGCGTGCTTCTTGCCCTCCAAATATTCGCTAAAAGTAAACCAAAAAATAAGTTCAGAGACGAGGAATTATCCAGGTCATATAAAATACTGACACCAAGTAAAACAATCGGACGGTCGGGTTTTCCTTAGACTTAAAGCATAAGTTTGTTAGCTTTCTTACACAAGTTTCCAACCTCTGTTCAATTACACGCATTTTTACTACCTTTATGTACTTGCTCGCCGATAAATTAGAAAATTCGACATTTTGTTGATTATTTTATTTAAACACATAAACATTGGTACAAGAAGGAACTAAATAGATATGAGCCACATAAATCGAAGGATTTATGTGATGATAGAGCGCGAAATAATCGACCATTTACCTTGGAAGTCTCATCAGCCCATGTGTGTTGGGATTTGACGGGATTCTGGCACGAATTTAGAAAGCTAGACACAAGAACAATGTCTGCCAACCAAAGGACAAGTCTGTAGTGTACCAGCCTGATCCACAAAATATGGCCCTTAAAAACAGATAGTACGCCTAGGTTAATAGTAATTGGTCATTGTTCGTATACTTTAGAACCATCCAGTTAGACGCAAAGTATTAGGTAAGTATAGCGAATCGGTTGATGAAGTAGCGAAACTTTATCAACTGAGATAGTAAGCAAAAGTATCACGTACCCACAGCAACCGATTACCTCGTCATACAATGATGGCTAGTGAAGGATGGAAGGAAGCCAACGGTGACCAAGTCAAGACACAGCTCTAGCTTGTGAAGACGCTGACTACTGGAATAGGCCATGTTAATAGGTGCGGAGTATCTGGTTGGGTTCCGGGTGATTATTATAACCAACGGTTAGACTGAGTGACATAGCATCAAGTTGTCCACGTTGGCGAAGAAGAGATTATTGCCTTACCTTAGGTCCTATTTTTTTAATTGCTCAATTTTTCCTAGATTTCAATACTTTATATTTTTTGAAACTTAGATCCAACCCCTAATTTTTACTACCGTCATTACCGTTACGTCTACTACTCTGAGGTTTATTCTGACAATTCAACCCAGCTGTCTAAATGGATTATGGAGACTAAAACCAATGTACCGACGTGCTAGATCTGAAGATGTATTTGATTGAGTGCCTAGTACAACTAAAAAACAAGACTTGATAACTGTAAACCAATCGCGCCAAGCTGATTGGGGATCAGAAAGGACTGAAACACTAAAGATATGCATAATTAGTGCAAGTAGAAACTCTGGAAAAAGGCATCTGAAAACTACTTTATAAGCTTAGTATTCGATTAGACACTGAAAGCTTTACCAGTCTGAACGATGTTTAGTCATATATATATATATATATATATATATGTTTACTAAGTAATCAACAAGCCACTTACGTTGTACATTGAATCAATGTGATCACCACTTGAAGCGATGGCACTTAATCTTTCAATTTCAAAGTTCAGCTTCTCAACGAGTTCACACAGCTATAAATATAAGCATTGATGTTTCCACCTTACCTGCAAATTTTCATCTAAGGTTTCCTTTAAAGCCACTCGCCTTTGTTCCGCGACGGTTTCCCAATACTTTTCAGGTGCTTGCTCTGTTACTTAAGAGTATTTATTAGAATGTTACCTGAACACAACCAAGCATTAAGGTCTATGACTTCCACTTGAGTAGCAGTTTCCTTATACTCTTTTGAGGTATTAAGATTCTGATCTTTCTGGCTTTTAGAGCGCAAAGCACCACAATGCTGGCAATGAGTTTCAATAGGGTCTTGGAAAATAATAAACGGAGCAACTTTGTTGACAACGGGTTTATTGGCAATTG